TGTGTGTGTGTGTGTGTGTGTGTGTGTGTGTGTGTGTGTGCGCGCGTGCGTGTGTGTGTGTCCCTAAACCAGGGCTCTGCATCCTTTCTGCTCCTCGTCTCTCTAATAAAATGTGTTCAGAGCCACAAAACAAGCTACAACTGTGATTATCAACTGCTGGTCCGTGGGCCTTTTAGAGGCCTTTTCAGGAACCTTTATGGTCAGTGGAGGTGACATTAAAAAACTTAAAAATATTATTATATTTATTACTATACACATCAGGACAATTATAAAAGCCGTATTCATGTAAACAACAAAAATGTACCGAATTTCGTAAAACTAGTACAACTGAATTATTCAGGTATATTTTTAAAATTCTTCTTATGTAGTCTTCTAATTATTCAAAGGTAATTCTGATGGATCTGAGAGAAAAATCACAGAAAGAAGTTGGATTATTTAAGTAAACATGTTAGCATGAGCTAATACATTTTACTTTTTGTATTAGTATCCTAGTATACTGTACTAGTATACTGTACTAGTAGTACTTTTTTGTATTGATCACATATTTGTATACAAATGTATTTCTGTTGTGGGTATAAAAACAAACAATTTTTCTGTTTGGTCACATTTTAAGTGATGGAGGACCAAACAATCTGCCACCAGAGCGCGTGCACGTGCACGTTAGTCTCGGGAGGAATCAGAACCCGTCCACAAACAGAACCGAGCCCACGCGTGTCTGATTGACACGCCGCTCCCAGGCGTGCGCCACACTCTGCCCTCGGTTCTGGTCTCAGACCGGTTCTACAGTCCCTGGTTCTGATGAGTCCTGCAGGATCTGCAGGGAACTCTGAAGTTCCACTCTCTCTCTGAACCGAACCGAACCATCAGAACTCAGCTCCGTGCACGTGGCTCCGCGGCAAACAGACAAGCCTTACCTGCGGATGAAGAGGAGGAGATGATGAAGAAATGATTAATCCTTGGTTGAAGTCCGCATCGTCGGACAGAGAGGAGGAGGAGGAGGCTGCTGGAGGAATAATCCCTCTGTCACTGACAATAACCCGAGAGGAGGAGGAGGAGGAGGAGGAGGAGGAGGAGGAG